GAGAATGAACAAACTTGGACCGGTTTGACTTGCTCTGGCTGCAGGGTGTAATGCAAAGGTTTAATAGAGTTTTAAATGCACACATTCCTTTTTCCATTGAGGCGTCCAGTGTTTTCTTTGCAAAATCTTGAATGTGATTCGGAAACATGAGCACCAGTTTTTGTTTAGTGTGGACTGTGTTTGCTGTAGGATTAACTGTTGTTTTCCTTCTGATTTTACAGATACAAATTGGGTTTCTTTATTATGAATGTGTATGAAGATGCCGGAATATAAGGATGTCTCTGACTTTGCGTGCTGTTTAAGTAAACTAAACTGACTTGGATTGATGGTCAGGACTGTCATGCCTAGGGGAGGTTGTGACAGCAGATCTCAGGCTTTGTTGGAGATGAACGCTGGTTTATTTAGCATTGAGAGTCCTGTCAGAATGATAAATCTGAGCTGCAGGTCATCACGTCCCCCAGTGGGAAACTTTGTTAGGGAAAATATTTGGGTGCAGACAGTATGATGATCAGATTGACCATAAAAGGGAATTTTGCTAAACGATGCTGATAATTCATTCATTTTCCTTTAGCTTAATCTCTTTTAAAGGTCACCACAACGCAATGAACCGCCAACTACTCCAGCATATGTTTTATGCAGTGGATGCCCTTTCGGCTGCAACCGAGTACTGGGGAAACACCCATACACTCATTCAAACTCATGCCCTTCGGCCAATTTAGCTTATTCAATACCCCGGAGCTCAATTAACCCCTTACTTAATAAACCGGCGCACCCAGAGGAAACCCACGCCAACACAGGCGAGAACATGCAAACTCCACACAGAAATGCCAGCTGACCCAGCCGGGGCTCGAACCAGCGACCTTCTTGCTGTGAGGCAACAGTGCTAACCACTAAGCTACCGTGCCACCCAGGATAATGTTATTACGTAACTAAGACGAAAAGTACAAAAGTAGGCAGTGCTTCATTTATGAATTGCGAGGTCCCGGAACTGATCGGGGTAATGGATCCGGCATGTTACCCGAGGATGTAGAGCTGTTGCAGATGAAAGTGAAGAAGGTTTGGGAGTTGTGAAAAAAAGTTAGTGGACAGGGAGGGTGGTTGAGGAGGAGGATTGTACAATGAGGTTTTCAGATTTCAGAGGTTTCGGATCCGGCATGTTCCGGCACAAATTTACTAGTTAAACCCTGCATGACATCATCGACTTTCACTTTAAGATTTAAAGGGCTAGCATTGCACCAGACCCCCGTAAGTGGTTTCGTTTGAAAGTGTAGAATCTATATTTTATGCACATATGCATCACTTTGGTTTTTATTCTACTGTACAAAAGTTATTTACACTTAAATACACAGTTTTTTGTATACCTGAGCTGGGTAGTGAACATTGGTTCATTTTCATATTTTTCATATGACACATGTACAAGTTATAGCTTAAATGAAAGCTCTTGCCGGTGCTCATACAGTTCTAGCATTATTGTTTTTCTGAATTATATTCACATATCAAACAGTTGCTGAATGAATCGTGGTGTTTCCATGGTGCAGAAGTGAAAACATTACATTTATGATCAATAAGCAGCCCCAGATAGCACAGACAGCTGTCATCTCTTACCTTATGCTGTGTGCTTCAGGGCCATTCTCCTCTGTTTTTGAGGTGCAGTAAAGGTTTTTAGGTGACTCAAAGGTTCAAGTAATCCTTTTATATGTCTGACGTGCTCCAAACACAGTGAATTATGCTTGATCAAACAAAAGAATAGTGAAATATGAAAACAATGACCACACAGAACCTAAAAGGTACACTTTCAAATTTGAGTTTATAAAAAAAATAGAAGACGCAATGTGTTTTTAGGTGTTTATTATAACACAGACGACATATACAGCTATTTTAAACACTTTCAATAATGTTTTATGAAAATTCAAAGGGCTTTCTTTAAAATGATACCAAATCTTTGCATTTACACCTTTGCATGTGGTTTTGGGAAGCTTTTAAATTTGGGTTGGCAAAATCCAGGCTGAAATCCCAAAATAGTACTACTGGAGTTTAACTGGTTAAGTCCTGAAAGGAACTAACACATTGCTTTAATTCAGAGGTCGGGAACCTTTTTCAGCAAAGAGCCTTTTTTTTTTTTTTTAAAGAGAAACTGATACTACTATAAATAATACAGGTTTAAACAAAACCTTTATGTCCATGCACAACTCAAAAATAAAGAAATATAAGTGTATAATTAAAAAAAGGAAAAGTAATAGTAATAATAATTTAAAAAAAATCACCATCACCATTTATAAATGTTTTTTGAATTTACGTGCACGAGGTTACTCTAGAAATGTAAGTTGTTTGCTCTTTATTGGGGTCGCAATTCAGATTTACCCACAGTGCGTTACACTCGGATTAGTTTAAATGTCCTTTTATTATAAACTGAGTTCTTACTCATTTTGCTGTAAAAAAAGCCCTAAAAAGGAACTGTAATTGTATTTTCAATAGGAAACTTGGATTTATAGTGACGGTTATAATTTTTTAAACCTCAAACTATTTTTGAAGGGAGACAGCTGGAGCGCCACTTGTGTCTCGCGAGCCATAGGTTCCCTACCACTGCTTTAAACTGTGGGTCTAGGATGTACAGTGTTTTGTTATACAGTGTGCAGAGCTCCTCTATTGAAAAAAAACCCCTGAAGGTTCTAAAAGAGATCAAGCCTCAGCAAAAGTAAGGAAAAGAAACGTTGAAGTAATGCAACACTTTACTTACTTAAAACAACAAGTAACACAACTAGTTGCATTTTTGCCTTTTTGGGGAGTAACTCAATATTGTAATGCATTACTTTAAAAAGTGACATTCTCCAACACTTCCTACGATGCTTTCCCCATAAACGAAATTAAATCACGATAACACATAAAAAAATCTAATAATTAATTAAAATAAAAAAGCATGATGTCTGTTATGTATCAAATATATGTGGGATCGTTCAAATTTAGAAATAACCCACATCAACACACACATTTCAAACACACAGTCCACAGATACTTATACAACGCACACATGTAATGTGCAACTGAAAAACCCTACAGATCAGATTGACGGTCTGTAGAAGTAAAAAAAATCTTAAATCTAAGTAATAAAGTGGCAATATATTGTAAATGTAATATTTTCGAAAGGAATGAATTGTTGCATCTGAGATCTTTGTTTCCACAGTAAAAGATTGCACCGTCTTGCTATCAGTGTCAAAAATGCCAAAGCATTTGCAGTACAACTGGATAAACCTGTAATATTCGGAGGATGTTCATTGAAAAGTGCAATCACAGGACACAACTCCATGTGCATCTGTCACAGAAGAATTTTTTTCTGTGACCGAAAGGTTTCTTTTCTCATCCAGGACATCTAATTAGATCCATTGGCTGATCACTGATTAAATAACATCCAGAATCATCTGCCACTCTGATTTTTAAAATAGTTTATTTACTGTACACCTCATTACATACTGCAGTTACTTTTAGATGTTCTGTTTTGACAGAGAGGTCAGCTTCCCTCAATAGAAAGTCAATGGAGAATTTCTAAAAAAAAAAGAAAAGAAAAAAAGACAATAGTTTTTCCCACCAAATGAGGGTGGGTCCAACATACGTCACACATGATGTCACACAGGTTCAACTGAGCATATTGGTTGCAAAAAAAGACTGGTTGCAGTAGCAAACATGTCGTGATGTGCAGTACGAGTCCAAAATCGATCATCATACCCTGCCGTACAGGTGCAGTTCGCTGTCAGAATGCAGTTGTTTTATTGTTGATGATTACTCAGGCCTTGTACAGCTTTTTAGCACTACATAGCGTTGAATCTGGTCATCATGGAGAATTATTTCTTGCACATGACCACACAGAACAACATTGTTGGCATCCGAAGACTTGTAGGCCTTTAACGTCACTTGGAGTTTCAAATGAGACAGTTGTACATTTGGGGCTGGATGCTTGGCCGTTTCGTCTTATCCAATATTCATTGGGACGGTGCTATCGCAAATGGACCTGTCAGATGAACGGCGCTCACTTTAACGTTAATTTTGCTAAATAACTGGGCTTATCACTGGCTGACGAGCTGTTATAATACGCTGAAAGCATTATGTAAATAATATATATACATAATGTGTCATCAATATAACTTATCTCTAATACAACTCTAATACAACAATAAATAAATAATATAAATATAATGTGTCATCAATATAACTTATCAATATAACTTATCTCTAATACAACAAATAAACTCTGTACCGCATCAGATGTCATTCCCTCGCTGTAAATGCTAATGCTCACGTTTTTTTTCTGCAACCTACTTTGTGCGCACATCCTGAATGTTTACAGACCAGTCATTTGTCTTTAGTTACTAGACATGCCGCTTACTGCTGATTGCAGGCAGGTGTGCTTCGGGACTTTGAGAAATCTATATTCTTCTAGTTCATTTCAGATGGAGGAAAATTAACTTTTTTTTTAATAGGACAAGTTTATTTTATTCAGAATAACTAATAATTAAAGTGCAGATGAATTGAAAACTAACTGTATTGATTTTGTTAGCACACATTGTCAGTTTTGTGGTGAACAATTCATCTGCGCATGTCATTAAGAACAAATAGTTTGCCCTTCCTATCTTTAATTGAAATCTGAAAATGCACTTCCTGTTTGTTTTCAGCTAAATTCTCAGATTTCGTCTGTTTGAGGTATAGGGCGTGGCTATCATACTTAGCCACGCCCCTCTAACTGTTGCTATAATAACAAACAGAAATGGTGAGGTGGTGGAGTCTGTTGGGTTGTAATAACTCCACCCAAACCTTTTTCCAGATCTTTCTAAATGAAATGCCTACTTTACTACATCCAATCAGCTCGCAGTTGGAAAAACAAGCCACGCCCACCGTTTTCTCATTTAATATGCAGTTTCTCTAGGAACTGAGTCACAATACGAAATAAAAATGACGGTCGAAGCTTCTGGTTCATGCAGACTTTAAATCAAATTTTTTCTCTTTTGCAGGACTTTGAAACCAGATCCATTGGCCGATCACTGGGTTGTGATTGGCTTGTTTTTTCGTCAGTTCTCATTGGCTGTCTGGAAAAGTGTCGTCTGCTAGTGTGCTTTAGTCAAACTGAAACATGGAGCCCATCTGCGCCACTGGAATGGCTGCGAGGCTGCGGAGTCAGTGGGATCGAGACGCGGGTTTGGGTCAAAACCACAACGCTGTCAAGTTCTTGGGTCAAGATTACGAGACGCTGAGAGCTCAGAGCCAGCAGAGCAGACGACTGTTTGAGGATCCAATGTTCACCGCCAGCAGCTCTTCTCTGGGCTTCAATGAACTCGGCCCGCGATCCTCCAAAACACAAGGAGTGCGCTGGATGAGACCCAAGGTGAGCGCAGGACTGTACTGACTCAATATATGCTGGAAACTACTGATGATGTTTGTATTATATATATATATATATATATATATATATATATATATATATATATATATATACATACATATATATACATATATGTATGTGTTGATAAAATATTACTAAATTCTCATTGTCATATTTCTAAGATGTTTAACAGATTGTGGAATTTTTCCCAGTATTTTATATAATATTTTTTCTTCTAGAAAAAGTCTTATTTTTTTCCATTTCAGCTAGAATAAAACCAGTTTTTAATTAAGGTCGATATTATTAGTCCTCTTGAAGAATATTTGTTTTGGATTGTCTACAGCAGTGGTTCCCAACAGGGGGGGTCGTGGCCTACAAGGGGGCCTCAGCGAGCTTTGTGGGGGGGGTCGCGTCATATTTAAATAAAGTCTTTGCAGTGGACAATTAGAATGATCATTTTGTGTTAGTTCATTTAATCCCCAGTGGATCAATTGGTTCTGGGCCACACAAGAAATCATTAATTATTTCCATTTATTTATTATCTGAGTCTGAACGATCTTTTATTTTGAAAAATGAGCGAATTCTTGTGCCTACGTCTCGGTCAGTCACTTGAGCACCAAAATTTAATCCACAAGCAGCAAAATTAGCAAGAAACAGGCGTCTTTAGAAACGACTCGCGAACTGTCAAGGAATAGATCCGCAACCCACTTGTCAACAAACCAGATGAATCCACCATGGCTGTGCAAGAAAATCAACTGATGGAGATTGCAAATGACGGCGGCATTTCAAGAGTTTGCAAAAGTTTGTTTACAATGGAGGTGTGGCCTGCGCACACATGCGGTGTGAAACCCTCGCACCAATGAACCCCAGGCCACGACGGACCGCCAACGTGTCCAGCACATGTTTTATGCAGCGAATGCTCTTCCAGCTGTAACCCATCTCTGGGAAACTTTAGGCTATTATTTGTGCATAAACATATCTAAATATAGTAATAAACATACTGTTTGTTTGAAAACAAATTTTTTTTGTCATCATTACTGCAAAATTTTATGAACGA